TGCTTCCCAACGGTATGTAATTCCCGGAGCCTGTGTCTTTCGTGGAAAAATAATGTCTTCCCCTTTTTGCTTGGGAGACCAAGCGAATTTTCGCGGATCTTTCGCCACCAGGGAAGAAAAAAAACAGAGGCAGCGAATTATTGTAGGTGTTACTGGGACTGGTGTGGATGTTCTGTTATCATTTCGTGGATATGTAAATTATATAGGGAAATGTGTGATCTCTGTACGAGGATTTTCGATTGGGTTAATAATTATTCGATTACGGATTTTGGGCATTCGTTGCGTAGACGAAAATTTATAGTACATCGGACGAAGTATTTTCATCGGAGATCAATAGCGATTTCACTTTAGTCATACGCTGATATAACAGGTTTGATAGAGGAATGTACATGGCTGTTTAATTGCTTTTCGTGAATTCGAAAATGCCTGGTATCATACCAGTTTTACAGTTTAATTTCCGTTTTTTAACTAGGATGAATGTATGTTCGTGACTATTTTTGCCTTTGTGAGGAATATACTGTAATATCATGAGATTCGGCGAATGAAAGGTCGAATGAACTGTGGGAGAGAAATTGCGATCGACAGAGTGTTTGGAACAGTACAAAACTGGCTCGAGTGGATGTTTAGTTTCGGCTATAGTTTGCGAGGTTCTAAGAATGCTTGTAGAGTTTTTGGGCACATAAGAATGTATGATGCGGGTGTGAGGTCTTTAAAAAAGCGGCGTGAATGAAGGGCGGCAGAGAACGAGGAATTGTGAAAAAGAACGTATTAGAGATCAGCGAACACGTGTAAAGCTAGTATACAGTAGGTATATCTACTTCATTACGTATTTTTAATAAACTTTGTTACCGTTTACATAGCACTCACTTATGGCTGACCCTTATTCCCCACAATACTATAAAATACAATTACTGTACTGAGAAACAATTGGAACAACGTAGCCACGATAGTTTGCATTTCGTTGACCGAATTGTGTAAATTGGTAAGCAATCTATCGATTTGGTAATGGTATTTCGTTGTTTTTATTCAATGGGTGTGCACTCATCGGAACGAACAAAACGAGAAACGAAAACGGGAGAACTTTTTTTGGTTTGCCTGACAGGGTCTCTAAAAAAAAAAGGTTGTTATCGTTTATTTATACTCTTTCCATGAAAAATTCAATTGTTGGGAAGACGTTTCCGATGGAACCGTTTCGTCATCTGTCAAGAAAAGTATGTACTTCTTATTTCTCTTCTTATAAAAAGCACTTCCGTCCTTCAAACTTCAAAAGGATATTCCACTGCCTGTTCACTGAACCCTACATAAGGAATTAGGCACTAAAAATTTATCCTACCATCTCTGCTACTCATTCCACATTTTCCCCAACTTCCACACCTAACTACAAAATCTCGAAACAAGAAAAGAAACCGCTGAATCACTATTAAGAAAGCAGTCTATTATAATACGCTTTCGCGTCTCTAAGGCCATCGTCGTTTCGCATCCCCGTCTCTGAACAGGTCGAATCTGTCGGTCACGGAGCCTCCCGTTGCCATTATCGTGCGACGTTAGATTTTCTGTGCCGGCACCGGTGTGTTCCCTGTATCCCGGGGCTCGTCTAACCGAATATGCATGCGCGTCCATCAAGCGTACAGAGAGATAGCGTTAACAAGCTGTATATAAGCGACGACCCAGAGACATCAAAGAGGTACCCGTCGTGTTTCCTGCACCGAGGCGACGGCGCGTCGTCGAGTCGGGGACGTTGCCGTTTCGAACTCGAGCACACGTGCCCCACGGGCTCGAACGATGGTAACCCGTGTGGGTTCAAGGGGTCGAACGACCAATATCAAAGAGGTGGAAAGAGATCGGTAACGCGGTCGAGAGGTTTCATCCTGGGTAATGTTTCTGACCGCCAATCAGTCGGTTGGCCGATGGTCACGGATTCGTGCCACGTCGGTGAAAATCGCTACCAATCCTGTCGACGAATCAAAGGGAGACGAAAGGAAGGTAGGATAAGGGTAGGCCAGGATGTAGGGAGGAGGGCAAAGAAACTTTCCAAGTTGTGGTTATTGCGACCGATCGATCGACCCCGACCGGTAACTGTATAGCTTATGAAGAGGAGTAAGCTGCAACACTACAGATCGCCCCTTTTACTTCCCACTCTTATCCTTGGGGCACCCACGAATCAAACTCTCCTCGAACGTATCCCAATCCCTTTCTCCGCCCGAAGGGACAATGGAACACCGTTTCCCCGGGGGAGAATATCAGCAGAGTCGGCGGTGAGAGAGCACTTCCTGTTAGCCTCGACCCTCCGTCCGCAACCAGCCGCAGGCCGCAAGCGTTGGCTCCTGCGAGCCGTAACCTCTAACCTCACGCTGTTCGGCCTGACCTCCCGCCGACAGCGTAATTGTTTAGAAACCCCTTGATCTGTAATTTCAGCGCCCAGCTCGCCCTACTCTCCGCGCGAAACATTGTTAACACGCTTTCATCCTTCTCTCCTCGTCTCTGACTCTATTCGCCTTCTCCTCTGTCATCATTCATCCTCTACCTTGGCCCCTTTACACGATTTCTCCTACTCCGTCTTACTTTCTTTTGTGAAATTTACCGTTTCTATCTGTTCCACACGACTGCCTAGTCGATAACTCGCGCACACGCGTACTGTCTTCTGCAGAATGCACGCGGAACAATAATAGGAAGGGAGAAGTGTACGCAACGTCTGGGAAAAAACCAATGAATCGTTCCGCCGAAAGGCTACTCGCTTAATTGTGCCAGACTCGTTAGAGCACCAGTTGCCCCAGATGGATCAAGGGGATGGAAATGGGGAGAGTCAGACATGTTTTGCCAGGGTCCTCGCCGCGGGGTCTCGACGAATACGAACTACCAACGTCTCCGCACGGTTTCTACTAACTTCGACTCCACCTCGAGAGTCTTGTTTTTCTATCTGTAATCCAGAGAGTTTCGTTTTGTATGCGTAAGTTTTAGAACCGCCTCGGGGCTGGAGGGAGCCGGAAATCTTTTTAACGAATTGTGTCCTTTCGAGGAAGTGATCCTTTGTACCGCGGTCCATCGAGATTTCATGAGAAAATTGCGTCAATATACTTCGTGAACAGAGTAAAGAAACTGTCTTATGAACTTTTAGTTCGTGAAGAATGAGTTAAAGATGCTCTGATAAACGTGGGGAAACTATCGATGGCGATAATGGTTTCGATAATCGTTTGAAAGATGTTTACTGGATCTACGATTCTTCCCATCGATGGAGGAACTATGTTTGAGAAAATTCTTCTTGGAGGATATTGTAAATTATCGATTACTGGTCGAAAACTTTTCAACACTGAGTCTTCATTTAGACGTCATCCCCACAGCTAGAGGGGCCTCGTGGAATCAGTCAACAGTCCAGGGATGTCGTCTGTCTAGTCTCAAGTAGACAAACATGTGTGATGCTAATTATAGCATATAAAAAAACAAATCCAACGAGGTGCAATATGTTGACCTTCGCGTGAGCTTTAGCGAAAAAATCATGAAATGTTTGTAAGTAAGCTCGGTACGCGTTCGGGGACGGTAAATGAAGGAATTTCAATTTCATTGGAACAGTGTACCGTGTAATTGTCCCTGGTGCTTGTAAACAGACATTCGTATTCTCCTTTCATCGGCAGAAAACATTCGACAAAGGGTTCTACCCGAATGTAGATCAATTACTGCAGAGCAACTTAAAAATGTACAGCAAGAATTTATTTACCGCCTCGAAAAATGTATCCAGATTCATGGTGCACATTTTGAACACCTTCTAAAATAAAGATTTAACTAAAGACTGTTCCAATGAAATTGAAATTCCTTCATTTACCGTCCTCGAAGCGCGTACTGAGCTTACCGACAAACATTTCATGATTTTTTCGCTAAAGGTCACGCGAAGGTCAACATACAGTAAAACCTGTTTTTGTGCGGTCCTTTTTTATACGATTTTATTTTTATGCGATTTGTTTTGTGCGATTTTATTTTTGTGCGATTTTTTTTTATGCGGTATATGAATTTCAACGGCGTTGGCATTACTGTAATGTTTTCTATCAGTGTACATATAAATATACACTTCAAGACGCTCTCTTCAGTTGGTTTAAACAGTTTCTCGACAATGTACATTCAATTATTTTCGCTCGACGCGCTAGCAGCATACGGTTTGTATTCCGAGTTTTATCCACGACTCACGTGATTAAGGATTCATTTTATAGTGAGATTAAAGGTAAACAAATTAATTACTTTTGTTTCTATTTGTATATAGTTTTTATGATTTTCATTTTATTTTTAAACATATGTACTCCCTTAAAATGAATAATTGTAGCCAAAAAAAAGTGAAAAGAAAGACAATTCCATTAGAAACAAAAAATCTAATATTAAATAGACTAGCAGATGGTGAACCAATTCATCACAAGAAGATGCGCGTTAAGGATTACGACGACTAGCAGTGAATTATGTAATGTGCATTTTGAAAACTTCTCCTTTTTACAATGAAAAATTAAATGTTTTTATAATGTGTAATTTAATTATTTATTTTGTTTGGAAGCACTTTCTCATGTATTTCGTAAATAATTGACGTATTTTCTAAGTGCGACTTTTTTTATGCGGTCCCTCTCCGCCGCATAAAAAAAAATTTCTGTAGTATGTCGTACAAAGTTGTTTATTATATGTAGTATTTATGAAATTTCCGAATATTTTTTTGTGCGGTTTCTTTTATGCGGTCCCTATCTACCGCATAAAAACAGGTTTTACTGTATTGCACCTCGTTGGATTTGTTTTTTTATATGCTATAAGAGTATTGTGGTGAAAATATGTAGTCCCATTAAAAAAAAATTCGATGACCTTGAAATCTCGAAAAAAAAAAAAATGACCTTGAGAAAAACATTCGGCCCATCACCGTATTGGCGACTTCGAACAGAATATTTTTCTCCCCTGATATTTTTTCTATCATACAAAATAAGCGATATGTTTAAGGTGGTCGAGTTACGTGAAATACCCAGTATATATCTACTTACGATCTCCTCCAGCTTCGTGCAGCCTTTCCTCGCGGTGCAGGCGAGCGCGACGATCATCCCTCCTCCGAGCATCAGCAAAAGGAACACCGCCAGTTTCCATCCGTGATCCCGCTGCGGAATCAGTTTCTTCGCGGTGGGCAACCTGGCAACCTCCGTCGTCGGTACACCAATCCTGGATGCCTTCACGAGAATGGTCCTGAGCTTCCTGGTAGCCTTCTCGCACGCCATCTTCGTGGGGTTGCTCTTCGACGCAGATCTCGACTTCACATGCACGTGATCCATCGCGATCTTCCCTTATCCTCAACCGTTACATACGAAACAATTCAAAACGAATCACGAAGACATAAGAAACTAAACTGGATATATTATCCAGGTGAGTCTTTTATAGTCGAAACCACCCGCAAACGACGTCACACTGTCACAAACTTTTCGCAACCGTCCATCACACGAATTTCTCTCTTCCACCGTTTCGATCGATCATTAGGCCACCGAGCCTAACCTACAGTCGCAGTAAGCTTCGTGAAAACTGTTTTCCTTTGGTGGTTCCGTGAAACTCTTCCAAATGCAATTCCTCAGCCAGTTCGGTCGCCGTTGAGGAAAGAGCGTTGAAGGGCAAGAGGAACCATCGAAAGCGTCTCGCAGGAAAAACGTCGTCGAGCGGCTTTACCGCTCGCGTAGATGGACTCTTCACCGGGTTTTATGAGATTATACCGGCCGATCCTGCGGTATCGCGGTGGCCCTGCTCCGTTCCCTTCCGCCTCGCTCAGTTCCCCTTGTCCGCGTACTCCATAAACCGACGCTGCCGCGCGGCGAGTCGTTATATTTTTATGCGCACGACGTGGGAAAATGCGAAACGGTGGAGGGGATGGGAAGTTCGTCGGCCGAAATGAGAATCGAGCCGAGATAAAAAGAAAGCGAGCGAAGATATCCGAATGGAGGTAGTTCCAGGGGCTAAATATTCACAAGTCTCTTCTTACAGCCTCGTCGACGGTTTTTTCGACTCGGACATAAACGTTTCGGGATCGAATTATCAAGGAAGGAGCACACAGCACGATACTATCTGACGATTATTGGCTGTAGAACGCCTTCTTCCAAAAACGTGTCATGGGTTAACACATATCGCTTGGATCATGAAATCGAAAGATTCTTCGACTTTCGATCGATGGATAATGATGGTTTTTTTTAGCAATGTTCCTGATTGATCGTATATCAGTCGTCGATCACTTGGTAGAGGACGATTGCTCCAAGATATCCCTATTTGCTTTATTATCTTCTGGCCTCACCCATGGCGGTGGTCGTGTTCTATTATCCTTTTTATGGTCCCCTCCAAGTATTTTGTTTTACTCTTCCGGGCGGTTTACGAGAGAAAGGTGGGCTCTAATGGGCCGACGATTTCGCTCATCAACGGGGCTCGTGTTGCTTCTTTCCGTACCACCTGGAAATAAAAACACCCGTCAGAGGATCGTGAAACGAAAACTTAATTGCTGGAGTATCTACGATCGCGCTGGGGGAGAAGCGTAATCGGTTGTAACGAGAATGCCAACGTGAATCTGTTCCACCTGAACATCTTGGACTCGTTACGAAACACGTAAACTCCGCAAGAAAATTAAGGGATCACCTCTATGAACTCGACTAAATCGGGCCAAGTGGGTATCGTTTAAAAAGCGTTTCAAATTGTGGAATCTTTACTTTCAGCTAACTTTTCAAGATTTCAGCTGCGTTGCTTATTGGCAAATTTGGAAAATTTTTTTAAATTCTGTTCTACTTTGTAATGTTACATGGGGTGAATAAAATTTTCTAAACAAAAAAATCAATACCATTTGAAAGCGATTACCTTCATATGTAAAATGACTGTTCATTGATTGTTAAACCGCTAAGACAATTTTTTACCCATGGCCATTATGTTTAAAGTTATCGATTCGCAACAAGTACCGTTCCGAATTCAGCGACTGCCTGACAGATTGTGAGTCCAGGGACGCGTCAGACCTCGGTGTATTTTAATTGCATCCGTTAAAATGGTGCACACGAAATTGTTTTCACACGATCGGGATGAATGTAATCGAGGGAGATCCAGAGAACCGACGCGACGGGATGATCAATCTCTTCGAGGAAAAGTTTCCTCGATGTAAGCCCGTCTGTTACGGGACGTTCCGCGATCTTATTTCTGTCGAACGGAGGAACCAGACATACGCTCGAGTGGGATGGATTCCGAGTGCATTAAAGATGGAAGCAATATCGGGTATAGGATTATCTTCGGACAGGCGATATCACGATGAAAATAATCGGGAGCTCGCAGTCGAACGGAACGAACGAACAGGACCGTGTCCGAGGGATTAAGCGAGAATTACCTTGGATTCCGGACTCTCGAATTCCGTGTACTTAATCCTGTTTCTGTCGGTCTACCTACGCGCTTGCTGCTTGAATACCATTTTCTTTTCTGTAACTCTTCCCTTTCCCCCCCTGCCACTGGTTAATTACGCCGCCACGGAGGAGGAACGAAAAGAATTCAACGACGTGTATGCTAATCTGTGTTCCACGGTTATTGTTCCTTTCGCATTTTGATGAAGAATAACGCGAATCACGTTTGCTCGCATTCACTTCGGATAATCTAGTAATTCTTTGGATGTTTCTCCGTTTGATAAACTTGGTACGAAAAAATCTTTGAGTAACTCTGTGTATGTACGAGATCTTGTAAGACTGGAATCGCTTGTTTGACAGAAAGATTTGAAATTTAAGTTGTCCAGTCTTCTGACATCCAGCATTTTTAAATGCAATCGCTATTATCATATGTATTTTAATTTAAAACAAGACGAACAGCCTCTATTAATTAAACGTAATGTAAAAGAATTAAAAGCCAAAATAAAATGTGCCTGGTTACGTACGGCCTTTTTCACTGTGGCAGTCGACGTGTTAATAATAATAGTCATCATCACAATGACTTTACTCCTGTCTGAACAATCACGTACAATATGACCGATATTTGACAATAATGTAACGCCTTACGGGCGAATGTAATATTAAGAATTCTTATTGCAATATTTCCACCTGGAAATCAGGTACATACACAAGGATTGTTAAACTATAACTTGACGAAATCGTAAGAGAAGTCAAACACGATCGAATCTTGGAAATCATGTCATTGGGTTGGTAAGAAAGAAATTTCGGTTTTGTAATGTGAAATAAAACTCATTTTTTTTATACAAAGAATAAACTTTAATCAATCATATATTTCCCATTTTGTTCAATGACCTTTTGCCATCTTTCTTGCAGCTTCATGATTCCGCGCTCATAGAATTTCTGGTCCTTATCAGCAAAAAACTGAACCAAGTGCGACTTAAGGTCATCATCATTTGTAAAAGTTTTACCATTCAAAGAGTTTTGCAAACTTCGAAATAAATGGTAATCAGATGGTGCCATATCAGGGCTGTATGGGGGATGCGACATCACTTCCCAACCAAGCTCCAATAATTTCCCACGAGTTACTAAAGATGTGTGAGGCCTTGCATTATCATGGTGGAACACAATTCCTTTGCGATTTGCCAATTCTGGCCGTTTTTCTTTTATTGCTTCATCCAATTTCAATAGTTGTTGACAGTAAACATCTGAATTGATCGTCTGGTTTCTTGGAAGCAACTCAAAATACACAACACCTTTGTAGTCCCACCAAATTGACAACATGACCTTTTTTTGATGCAATTCAGCTTTAGATGTGGATTGTGCTGGTTCATCACGCTTGGACCATGATCGTTTTCGAATAATGTTACTGTACATGACCCATTTTTCATTACCAGTGATGATACGTTTCAAGAAAGGATCGGCTTCATTGCGCTTGAGATGCATATCGCAAATATTGATTCGTTGTGTTAAATGAATCTCTTTCAATATATGCAGAACCCAAATATCGAGCTTCTTAGCGAGTCCAAGACATTTTAAGTGATTTTCAATTGTTGTATGCGATACATTTAACCTCTCTGCAATCTCTCGAACAGTTATGTGACGATCCTC